AGATAAACCTTTCCCATCCATCACTGTCCGCTGCTGCAAGATAAAGGAGCAAACTGGAAAGGCTGCATGGGGACTGCTTAAGCCTGCACAGCTCTCTGCATCTTAGTCATACACTGAAACCAGCCCTTTTACAGGCAGATGTGCATCTTGTGTTCATAGGTATGTGTGCAGTATGGTTGTTATGATCCAAATACATAGCTAGAACTTTTATATAACTTTTTCTTTCACTACTGCAGCTCTTGTTACACTTTCTGTGGTTTCACTTCTGTCACTCAGCTGTATTATCTGTTTTTCATCTTTTTGCCAGCCTTCATGTTTTACATGCAAAGTGTTTTCTTTGGATTAGCCAGTGCATTACTCTTTTCAAACTATTTAATAGGAAGGATCAGCTTCTTAGCACATTTAATTGTTGTCTTAAGCCTGTAAACGATACTGTTATTAAGAAAGAGATTCTGAGATGCAGCCTGTTTGCAGGATTTCCTACCTGAAGGCTTGCTGATCTTATTTTCCTACTCTTTCTACTGGGCTCTTTTATGTAAAGCAGTGTCTGAGGGTCATTGTTTTGAAAATCAGGGGGTCTTCACAGGTGCATGCATGAAGGGTAGCCCAAATCAAGCAAGATGAAACGTCTACCTCTGCCTGATAAACCCTGCAGTGCTGCAGCTGTGTCAAGTCCCACGCAAAACCACTCTCCTATTACCAGTGTCCTGCGGGACCAAGACCCACTGCATTATATGCTGCCAATACACATATGAACAGAACTGAAACTCCCTCTCCAAAGACCTTTTCCCATAGATTATGTTGCAGGCACTGCACTAAGAATTTTGGATTCCCAAAAAGCAGCACAATAACTTAAAAAGGAAGCAATTTAAAAAAATAAAATTAAAATAGATGCTGAGGGTAAGATTTCTTGCCCTTTACATGTTTAAACCTTTGTTTCTGGTCTTCGAATTTCTCTTTAGGCTCATAAGCCTTGTTATTTTAAGTGAAACTCTATAATCATAGTCACTGTTTTTACCCACGTCCTTATACATAAACAACGGACAGAGCTAGTGGCCCCTGAAGGTTGAACGATTCAGGAGACTTAAGTGATGTATGGGGGCAGCTACGTGGGGACTGCCAAGAGGAAACATGAAGTGTACGGACATAAGTGGAATTCAGGCTATTTGTATACTGAGCTTCCTGAGCCTAGGAGAGGCTGACATGTTTTAAATCAAACACTGTGATTCATGGTAAGCACACAAGGCCAAGCGATGGTTGGCAAGGAGAACAAATCTTTCTGTATTTCCTAATCTCAAAAATAAGTTTAATAATTGCAGGCACTCATCAGGTTTAGTACATGAAAGACTGGAGGAGCAGCAATACTGCGGTAATAGGGTCATAGAAGTGCTTTGCCAGTGCTGTGTGGATCTAGGAGCACATAACATTGATATCACCTTATCTTACAACAGCTCAGATTCCTCTCAGGTTTCTGAGCAGTGCTCTTTGGCAGTGTTTGCTGTGGGCCTGGAGCACAAGCTAGCCCATTTATCCTGAACAAGTTGTGACAGAGGTTAGCTTCCTCAGATTGAAAGCATATTTTCAAAACCCAACTTGCTTCAAACTATGTAAGAGACATTTCTTCCATGTAGTGGAAAAAAGTGCATATGTTGTTTTTTTTCCTTTTATTTACTTATCTGTGTATCTGGGACTTTGTATTGATTTGGGAGGTTTTTTGGTTTATAAATTTCAGCAGAGCAATACAATTTGGAATTTTGTGTCTGGTAGGGTCTATCCGCATGGCGTGTCAAATGTGGGATCATGGACAATAAAAATGCTTCTCCTTGCTTGCTGGAAATCAGCTCAATCATGTTCTGCTGTGTGTGTACTCTGAGCAGCATGGACTTGAGTGTGTGTTAGTGGCCCACATGCACACCTACAATGCACCTGTGCTAATAAATAAAGTGGCCAAGTTAATGCTCCCTCCTTAAGGGTAAGCAGCAGGACATAGTAGCCAACACCAAGCTCTGTGGACTTTGGGAGTGATATTGGGAAAAGGGGCTGAAGTGTATCCAGAGTGTGTGATAGGCACATTACCTGCACTGAATCTCCGCCCTTTGTCACAAATGCTAATGAGGGGAAAAGCAAATGAGCCATTAGTGTTCTGCACCCTCCCTCAGTACATCCACAAAATCCACAAAATTTGCAGCCCCTCTTGGCAGCAGAATAACCAGTCAGAATGAAACCAAACAATCACAAGTTCAGTTATTTCCCTAATGTTAATTGCGTTTATTGCCAGGTTTTCCTGTAAAGTCGTGTCATTTTTACAAACCTTCAAAAGAAAGACTTTTTGCTGGCACAATGTTCTTGCCAATCACCTGTGTTATAAAGCTGTTATTTAGTCCAGCACATTTGCCAGTTTTAAGTGTGCACCTCAGCTTTCAAAAACACAGATTTGCTTCTTAACGTTTTACTATGTAACCCCTGGTAAAAACAGTCATCTTTTTAACTGATACAGCTGAGAACAACATTCGCATCTAGATGTCTGTGTTCAAGATAAAGACAGGATGTTTCACTTCCAGCCACTTGCAAAGGCAACGATGCCCCTGTACCAGATGGAGAGTGAGGTAGGAAGAGTGCAGTCTGAGGAGGATAGGTGCTGTGACCTTTCTCTGCTTTCCTCAGTGGGTATATGTGGAGTTTCATAAGTTGAACGAATTTCTGAGTTATTTTTAGGAAGTGGCTTATTTTCATGTTCATCCTGAGTCTAAGTAGAATGTGAAACTGAATTAAAAATGTTTGCCATCAGCAATTTTATTATAGATCTCAATGTTACAGTCAGCATTTTATATTACAACAGAAGAGGTACAAAAGTAAGCATGAAGATAAACTTTTGACCTATGGTAAGAAATAACCTATTTGAAAGTGTTGGTATGTGTCTACGTTGATGTAACTAAGTAGTTAACAGAGTGCAAATAACAATACATTTCACTTAATGTAAACATTATTGGTGAGGTCTTGGGTGTAGTCGAGCTATGCTCAGTGCAGGCCTCTGTATTACAGAGCAAAGGTTTCTCTAGAGATGGTTGAAATTACACCACCTTGTGTATTCCCACAAGCACACTACACACTGTGGGTAGTCACCAAAACATACGCCATCGTAACCTTCTGCCTGTGGGATCACGGAAACCTCGGTCTGCCTGATGAATTGGCAATTGCTGGTTGCACTGGCACAGCAACACCTAAGAGTATATCTGTAGCAAAATCTGCTCTGTTCTCTTAGTGTCAGTGGCACTGCACGAAGCCACCACAGCTGAGGCCATAAGCTGGCCTCAGATATTTGTTTTGTTATAAACACTGCATTTCAATATGCATATGAGACTGATAAAATAGAAATCAAAGGAAATCAATGAAACTTGCTGTTTCAGTATACTATGGCATGCCTGTGCTTGTGAATTATACACAGCAAAGCATCACCTTTCACCTCAGAATTGAGGTCAAGAGAGACTCTTTATTGTGGCAACCTTTTGATGTTCATCCCTGTTCCAGTGGATGGCCAAAGCTGTGGCCTGAGGCACCTTTTATGAAAGTTGGAAGGCTTACACTTACTGCTATATTAAGAATAAAACATAACCTGAACTGCAGTAGGATTTTAATGGGGCTGTCTGAGTCAGTCTTGCTATTTTCTCCCCCCAGCTACACACTTGACACGTTCTTACAGATGCTGGCAAACCTCTGAGTGGTTTCTGGTCTTTTCTTGGCTCAGCTCAGCTATTTCCCCACTAGCCACTTACTGTGATGCCCATTAAAAGGTAAGAACTGCTCTGTCTCTTCTATCACTTGCTTTGCCTGCTCAAAGGTGCCACAGTCCCTGGGAGAAACACTACTTTATCATGTGCTACTAGGCAATGTGTCCCTCTGGGGGTTGGTGCACTGTGAAGTAGTGAGAGCATAGCATGCTCCAGCTATTTCACAGAATTATTTAGTTGGAAATGACCTTTAAGGTAATCGAATCCAACCCATCCAGCCTCTCAGCAGAGAGGGAGCTGAGCGCTGACCTGGGCAAGTTCTGCCTCTGCTGCAAAATCTCCTTCTTCTCTGTGTATGCCCTAGGGAATCCTTGCTCTGTGCTTCAAGGCACAAGGGGAGCTGACCAGGAGGGAGCAAACCAGGGCAAAGCATTTGCCCTCAACCACTGAACATGGCCCTGGACCCTCTGAAGTAGTATGTTTGTGTGCACGTGTGTACAGTAAACACACCTAAAATATCATCTCCTGCTACTGGGCTGTTAGCATCACAGCAAGGATTTCTGGTTATGGACTCTGTACACAGCACAGTACTATTTATCAGTCTAAGCTACATAGCCACATCTTTTCCAGCTTTACACACAAATAATGAGAGTCTTCAGTAGTGCGGAGCACTCCATTTCATGGAGCTGTGGTGGTGTTGGTGCAGAGCCTGCAGTCTGTGTGGTCAGGGTTGTGCACACACTGAAGGAGCTGAACTGGCCTGGGATAAGACACAAAAACAAACAAATATTTAATAACCACTTTGCAAGTACAGCAGAATAAAACTCCAGTTACTAGATGCAACATGAAAGTCAAAGTGCATGTTACATATGTGCTTATCGAGTGGATGCCTTTTCCTAGGATAACTTTTTTTAGATCTTGTTGCAGAAAGAGAACTTTGATGTTTAAAGGGGTCAGGGACAAGAGCAAGTGAGCCTGAAATAAAGTAGGGTGTTAACTCACAACAAGTCAACTACACTGTGATAACAAAAATAATTATGAAAAAGAAGTAATATCTCTTGCATGGACTATGGATTTGCTGTCATGTTGAAAGTTCACCATTTTTCTTACCCAGTGGTAACCTCCACTGCTACTGTAAAGCTGTTGCTAACAATGTCAGATGTGATTAGATTATTTTGCTAGCAGTACATCCAGTGTATCTATTTTTTGAGTTACTTCTGGAAGACACTGCTGGCATGGACAAAAGCAAGAGAAAAATGATCAGCACCAAATGCTATGTGGCATGAAAAGCCACAGACTCAGCTGATATGGGCTCACATGGTTCTGTTTGGAGTGACTTCAGTGGAGTGAAACTAAGTAGCCCGGTCTATGCTGAAGAGGTTCACTGCACATGTAAATAGCTTATTTTATTATTGCTCTGTACATAAATAGTAAAATTAATTGTCCATGTTGCTCTACACAATTACTGATGTATGTGTTAGTTGAGCTCTGACAAAAAGCCCTACTTGTTATTCTGTCTTAAGAGCAAGTTGTGAGCCATAGCAACGAGAGTGTCAACAGCTCCATGTTGTGCTACAGGTTCCTCTTTCTGCTGAGCCATGAGCGATCTAAAGTACTACATATTTCCCCTTCCTCCTTGGCCCCTTAGATTATTTCAGCATAGGCTGACATAATTTGTACCTGGTTACAGGTCCTGGGAGTATTGGTTAAAGGCTGCAATGAACCAAAGAGAAAGCGAGTGCACGAGCACCATGATCTGGCAGATTTATGCACCACATTGGTGTTATTTTTTTCAAAATGTGCAGAGCACCCGTTAATCAGGTTCAGCAACATCCAAACAGGAATATGTTGCTCTGCCTTCAAGACTAAAATCCTACCACCAGATAAGGCATTTGCCTCCTTTGCAGTCCAACTTTATTTAAAACTAATGTAATGAACTCTGTAGTTTATGGAAATGTTTGTTTACTTTGGAAATGTTCTTATCCAAGTATGACTTCTTCACTCTGAAAAGCTGTTCCTGACAGATAAGATGTAAGTAATGTGGAACCTTTGCTGCTTTTCTGGTGTCACTAAAGAGCACTTTCGCTCTGTGCGAAGGTCTCTGAACCCACACAGTGTGATAATGGCTCTTTTGTATCTCCTCAGCAGGCAGATGGAGATTTCAGGCAAGTCAGAACTCGGGCTGCTCTGTTTCCTGAACTCCTGTTTTTATCTTCTGACAATGGGGAATTACAGTAATTAATAATACTTATCATGTGTCTTGCCTCACTCTCTGACAAAGCAGCTGGATGGAAAGTAAGCTCCAACTATAGCAAGGGAAGTAAGGACCATCCTTGACATGCTGCATTATCTGGGTGCAGCAGGGAGGAAAGCTGCCTATTTGGTTCTCATTATCATAGGTAAAAGCCTGGTCAGATGAAAATCTGTTGAGAGAGGCTGGATTCCTCCTTTCCTGAAGGCAAATGAAGAGCTGCAAAGCCGGTGACCTCCTAGAGTGCAGGGCACAGAGCAAACCTCAGACATGAGGTCTGCACTGCAAGTGGAAGTCCCTGAGAAGCACAGAGCCACATCAAGGGGATGTGATGGCAGTAGGAGAGGAGTCTGCTCTAGTCTTCTGTAAACAAGAAAATCTATATTAAATCAAGAAGCAGATGCAGTATTAGTTTTATGTTAGCAAGTTGACACCAATAAGAGCAGGTAGTTACCTGTAATTATCTTCACAAGTGATTGTAAAGTTTCGCTCTTCTAAGATGCTTTTCAACTTCTTTATGGAATGACCTGAGCAGGATTCACTGGAAAGAAAAGTGTTTTGTTACTTATGTTCCTTATGTGCACTATTTAGCGCAGCTAAATTCCACACTATGTTGCTTTGCTTTATTTCAGGTAAGAATCTTTAAAAGGTTGCTTGCTAATGTGCTGTAAAGACCATTGGGTTTGTGGAGTTCTGGCTACCATTAGATCTTTGCTGGTAGAAACGATGTGACATTCAACTGTGCATCTTGCACAAGAACTTTCTGCAGGAAGATGTCTGTAGGAAATAACTTGGTTTCATTCAGAGTTCAAAATGCTCTAGAACTGCTCCAAAGCTGCTGCTGGCCTCTATCCACAAAAGCATGAGATTTTTATCTATGCTTGAATTTGCTTGAAATAGTCCCTGGGGCCCCAAAGATGTAGTGAGAGGACTGTAAAATATCAGACACACAGAAAGAGACGCTGCAGAAAACTTGTTACCCCAGGATAAAAATCATCCCCTGATCCAGACTATAGGACACGCATCAGGGCAATATTACAATACTGGGCCAAATCCAGTTCCTAACATAAGGCATTAGTATAAAGCAGAGCCAGCTCTTCTTTGTACATAAAACTTACCAGATGTTATCAGTGATTCAACATGGGATGCAAATCAGAAAATAAAAGGAATACATTTTATTGGAGCTGCCCTCCCTGTTTCTCCTTGGAAGTAGGTAGAAAATAAAAAGGAAACTGCTGTGAGCTTGGCACAGGGGGAAGATGTGTCAAGAAGGCTGGCAGGGCACCAGGTTGTTGCAGCTTTTGAGAAGGAGGAACATGATGGCTTTTCTGATGTTGGGAAATATTGACAGAAAAGATCAAGTGCCATGCCTGGGAGAACTAATGTACAGATTACACAATGTCATTTTCTTCAGCAGACTTCTAAGCAGTGGACCACAAGAATATGTCTGACATGCTGACCATGGGATAGATGTGTGCCTACGAGCTCTGCTAGATATGTCAGCTTGTATGGCAGAGACACTTCTGGGTGTCTGGGGTGGAGTGGTTTGCAAGACTAGAGCTGGTACTGTGTCAGAGAGTGGGGCTGTCTGAGCAAGGGTTTCTGATGGGTTCATACTCATTCCTGAGTTGCACTGCATCATCAAGCCCTGCTTCCTGACCCACAGTGTCAAAGCTACTGCCTCTGGCATGGGGGGTCCTTGAAGAAGTCTTAGGAGGAATGGGTTGAGGGATCTGGGATTGTTTATTTTGGAGAAGAGGAGGCTGAGGGGAGACCTCTACAACTACCTGAAAGGCAGCTGTAGTGAGGTGGGTGGTCAATCTCTTCTCCCAAGTAACAAACAATAGGATGAGAGAAAATGGCCCCAAGTTGTGCCAGGGGAGGGTTAGATTGGATATTAGGAAAAAATTCTTTACTGAAAATGCGGTCAAGCACTGGAACAGGCTGCCCAGGGAAGTGGTGAAGTCGACATCCCTGGAGGCATTCAAAAAATGTGTAGATGTGGCACTTCAGGACATGGTTTAGAGGACTTGGTGGTGTTAGGTTGACGATTGGACTTGATGATCCTAGAGATCCTTTCCAACCTTAATGATTCCATGATTCTATGAATTGGGGAAACCATGGCAATGCATTATAACCATGTGAACCACAGATGCAGCTCTGAAGATAGGAGTCAAAGGCATTAAACCTCATGCTCAGCGCTTGAAATGTGACAGGCCTGCAAAGGAATCTGAATGGGCTGAAAAAGGTCACTCAGAAAGACTCAGATGTGATCTGAGGTCAGTGTTCTGATATCAGCAATTCCATGATAAGCATTTAAGCTAAGGAGGTATTATTAACAATCACAGAATCATTTAGGTTGAAAGGGACTGCTTGAGATCGTGTAGTCCAACCAATATCATCTAGAGCAGTTTGTCAGTTGGGTTTTGAATACATCCACAGATAGAGACCCCACAACCTCTCTGTTACCACATCTGAATTTATTTTGTCAAAAAAGGTTCTGGTCAGCATAATTATACTATTCCTGTGGAAAAAGATATGTTCATCCTGGCAAATGTAGCTTGATCTGTGACCTCAGTGCTGCACCCATAATAAGGGTCTGTAGAGCTCTGGGGTTGGGAGGAATTTAAAGGTCATAGGACCTCTTGACAGCAAGGAAAATGTCATAGTGTCTTAGCTAGAACTGTTCAGCAGTACCTATGAAAAATACCAAAGAAAACAACAATAAAAATGTTATTATTTTCAGTAAACAGTGATGAGAATGAATGTAAGGCAGTTTTCATGAGCAGATTTAAGACAGTCATTGTTAAACAGTCACTTGTCAGAGCTGAGCTGCACCCTCTGCCTTCTGCACGCTACTTGTCATTTCACACTGGCGTGACCCACCTTTGAAGTCCACCGATGTCATGCATAAGCCAAATGTGTACTTCAGAGACCTTCTCTGGATTTAGGTTAAAGATCTCAATACTTCCGAAAATGCTGTAAGAATGGGACATGAAAAAGCAAAACATTCTTGGTTATCTAAGACAGCTGTATAAAGTATGTTCCCCAATACTAGCACTTATTAATGCTGCTATTATTGTTAGTGACAGAATGTTATCTTGTCAATGGATTTTCACAGACTATTTAATTAAATTGTGGTAAAAGATTTTCTCCCCATTCTTATTTCACTTTCACAAGAACTTTTGAAACTGTCTGCAGACTGAAACAAGCTGATTTTATTCCATCTTTAGTGCTTTTCTTCCTGTTTGGTTTATTGGCTGTTGGTTAGGTTTGGAAATGAACATGTCTGTTCATCTGACCAACATATTCTTCATCTTTCAATATTATTGAAGACTGCACTTCCAGCCAGGTAACCCAAGGAAGCACAGTCTGGAGGGGGGAAATCCAGTCCCATCCATGAGCAGTTAGAAAGGTATCATTCACATGAATTTAACATAGTGTACAAATCTAAATTATCTCTAATAATAAAGTTACTTTGTGCAGTAATAGCAACCTGGATATTCTACCCACATATCCCCAGAGGGATTTTAAACTACAGTACAGAAGGAGTGAAGTGAGTCACCTCTTTAATAGCCAATGGTTTAAAGACCTCTATAAGAGTTTTCTAAAACCCCTTCTGCACTGTTACTCACTGGCAAAGACACATTCACCAGCACACAGGCCCCACAGAAACAGGGGTGGTAGGATGCTGAGTAAATACCTGCTGCTTCTGAAAGCTCCAGCTTCTACCGATCCATTGAGCATCACTTGAACCACACCACATGCTGCTTCTGCAAACTGAAAAAAACATATACACATTGAGAATATATATATGTATATATATATAAACTGAACAAGACATTATACTATACTATACTATATAAACTGAACAAGACATTCTACTCTGACACTACATGCAGTGCCATGTCAGACAGCAGTTTGACATTTCTTTGATGTCATCAGAAATGACTTACACAAGTAGAGGATCTGGCCAATATTTCAAAAGAACATGTCAGTGCAAATAAATGCCTCTAAAGGCTATGGCAAAACTGTCATAAAGGTGCATTAGCCAGCTCTGAATTGGCAGTGAGGCTGCACAGAACTGGTACAGTAACTCTGCTGTCACTGCTGTTTTCAGTTTTTACAGGGGGATGCAACAGCTCCAGAAGCACTGCTTTGACTCTGGCAATGGGGATGAGCCAGAACAGAGGCACCACAAGTTTAAGAACATGCAAATGATCACGTATTCATTACCTTGTGAATCAAGCTCTTGTGTTCTTTTGTGGCTTGGGATTTTTCTCCCCAGTGGTTTTAGTAAAAGTCTTCATCAAGTTTTGTTTGATTTGTAATCACTGCTCTTTTATTGTTTAAAGCTTAGGTACAAATATTTAAAGACTACTAAGCAAGGTTACAACATAAAGTACTCACTCTAGGTATGGAATCCATTGGTGGGACAAAGAATTTTTGAAAAGCTTAACACGGATGACTGTACTTATCAAATCCTCCAGGTTCTCTTACATCTAAACAACATAGTTCAAACTCAGCTTGTGAGAGCTGTGAAGTTGCAGGAAATTTTGACTATGCGTAACTTTCTAATGTAATAAGCATGAGTTTTAGTAGATCTTAAATTTATTTGGACTACAAAGCTTGCAGTTAAGCAAGCCTGACTCTATATGGTGGTTTATTTCTCCCAGGCTCTGGAACTGAGGGATTAAAGAGTACATCAAAACTGTCTTGAGCTTGGAAAACTTCATTTACACTAGCTTACTGCAAAATATTATTTTATGGTGAGCAGACTTTTTCTTACATACATGAGAGCTGAAATGTACAGGAATGCTAGTTTTTCCACCTGAACAGTCATCTACTAATGGTCGTATCAAGGGTGAAGTCTTGAGAGACATGTAAAATTAAACTGATACAGGAGAATAGTTTTTTCCCAGCAGTTTTTTTTCCTGTAAAGTGCTGATTCAACAAAACCAGGCTAACTGCTTAACTTGGACCAGCAGGGTGTCATTCGTGTGATGGGAGCTGGCACGTGCATATGTGTGGGTACATCATAGGAACTGTGCCGGATACCCCGTGGGAGGGTGTGCTCTTCAGGTTTATGCTGGGAAAGGGCAAGGGGATTCTCCTCTGTTTGGCAAACTTCTGTGCCCATTTCAGCACGGGTCTCAACTTTAACATGCTAAAATGTAATTTATTTTAGCAATTTCAGTCCTGTGATCTAATTAAGGTGGTGATTATTATTATTGTCAGTATTATTTGTGAAGCTCCAGCTGTCTGCCAGGTATTGCTCTAGACACTGGCACACAGTCTCTGTCCACACACAAAAATGCCCAAACTACAGTGACATTAAATATTGTACATAAATTATGGGAACTTGGAAAGACAGATTTCCAAAGCCATGATTTTTAGCACTTGAAGCTAAAGCTCATGTCAGCTTTTACTATTCCAGGTTTTAGGTCCAATCTGCAAACTCACATTTTTGGCAGTGTCAGGAACTTAGAGTCTTTCAATATTCTTGGATTTGGGGAAGATTTATTCTAGATCTTACCATCTTGGATGCCATTTTCCAGAATACAGAGCTAGGGTTGCTCTCACATTCACTTCGTTTTGGACAAGATTCATAGTTGATTCCTGTGAAGAAATACATTTATAGAACATCTAAGGTCAGAGTGAATATTGTTGCAATGTCAATAGGGCTTTGAGAGCTAATTAATGATGGCAAAAAGATTTGCCTCCTACCAAAGCATGAGGAAAAGGCTCTAAGAGAAAATGAATTTGCATGTGTGAAAAGGTCTTCCTGTTTGCTCACATGTTTCAGGGAGGCAGCTGCAGACCCTGTATGCAAACAATTCTCACAAAACTGAGAAGGGAAAGCTTGTGGTCCTAAATGTGAGAAACAGGTTGGCTCTTGACAATGCTGTCCAATTGCATTGAAAGATTAAAATCTGCCCTACATTTTCAGTAATTCCAGCCCATTTTAGAGGTTATTATCTTTAAGCTGGTTTTAAGCACCAATCCAGGAGTCCTGTGGGTACCAATAACACCAGGGTACCTGCATGCTGCTCCCACCACTTTGACTGGCTTATGGCCAGGACCTTCTTGAATGGCATTCATATTTTGCAATTTGTCCCATAGGAGTCACAGGAAGGAACCAAGTAATCTTGATAAAGAGGGTGAGATATCACCATTACTCCAAGAAGCAATCTGGTATTTTAATAATCACCAAAAAGTTGTGGGTTTTTTTTTAAATTACCCATAGAAATAAGTACTATTTTCATTCTTCCATAATATGGGACAGAAATACAGTTAAGGTTTTAAACTAACTTAAATAAAAGAATATATGAAAAGAACTGGGTTTAGGTCCAGATATACAAGAGAAAAGAATAACATGGAATTCCAGTGGTCTGATTTGTTCTGCAAAAAATAGGACTTGTTACCTGGGGCAGAGGGGTCTCCACACCATGAAACCCTATCAGCCATATAACCCAACAAGGTGTCCTCCAAGGTAAGGAAATTTTGATTGGATTTTGTATAACGATGAACAAGGTCATTTGTCTTGCTCCAAAGCAATGACTGTGAAATAAGATACAATGTCTAGTAAGTGAAACTTATACTAGAGCTGGTCAGGAAAGTTTCCTGGAGTAAAGCAAAAGTTATGCATGAAAATGAAGGAGTTTTAGTTTTTATTGAAATTCTGCAAGTTCACATCAGTGGGTCAATTCTTATCTCTGCAGCCCATGCTCCCATCTCCAAAATCTTGTTAGGTGGTTATTTTTTTTTAACAATCCTCTTTACGCAGCCCACCATGCATTCCAGTTACCTGGTTACAGGGTATGGGATGACTCCCTAGCTCCATTAAAGGCTGGTAATCTTCTGATGTAATATTACAGGGATTCTTGTAAATGAATGCATGCTTTAACGATTCCCATATTTTTAGGCAATCCTTATCTCTGCCAAAAGAATAAAACATAGTTAATTATTACTTGTAAGTATTTATGATTGTGAAAGGATCTTCTTCTGTTATGGTCAACCACTATGGATCATATTTTTAAAAAGTTCTGACTATGCTCAGGCACCAAAATACATTATCCATTACAAAATACAGAGTATCTTCAGCAAACTGAGTATAAACTAAGGAATGAACAGTTCTAAAACACATCTTTCTCTCACTCTCCTGCATTTGAAATTACTGATAATTGCAGTATCTGAATGCCCTCTATGTTTTTGTACCTTAAAAAGAGCAGTGCTGATATCACATAACCAGAAGATCAAATTTCTTGCTTTCTTAATTTCAAATTTCTTGATTCATACCAAATCATACCATGAGAAGCAAATGTGGCAAAATATAGCTTGTACATTTTAAAATATGGGTGAAGAATACTGCTTCCTTAGGCATAGTGAGTCAAAAATATGCCCATATGTCTCCCTGTGGAGCATTTGACCCTACAGAAATAATATCTATAATTTTATCTAAAACAAAAGCAGAGATCTGGCAGTTTTGGACCTGATATTACTTTCATTTATGCTTTAATTTGCAGCTGTTGACTTTGCTGAAGCAACAGCTGATTTGCACAAGTATAACCGAGATCCAAACCGGGTGCTTAGTTTTTTTCAGTCTTCTGCTCCTCCACCACATTGTAGCTTCTGGCCCTTTTCCTCTCACTGGTGTGAGGCAGAGGAACTCCATTACATCTGCATGGGGAAACTGCCTGATGCCATGACACAACTCTGTCACCTCAGTCTTCACTTACTAAGATGCTGCTTTGTCAGCCTAGGAAATAATGTGCCTCTCTGCTGAGAGCAGCAGGGCTCCTTTTGTACTATGAGGAGGAAATACGTTGCTTAGTTCGGGCAAGCAATCACATCTCTCTGCTGAAGTAGTGCCATGCTCCCTTCCTGAAGCTGCAGCATATAATAAGGTGACTCAGGACATTTGCTTTCTTGTTCTTGAGGGAATGAATGAAAACTTTGCATTAAGATAATTCAGAATTATTGTCGTCTAGTATGTGTTTTCAAGGCTGTCCCCAATGGGTGCACTTCCCTTCTTCACGCTCCCGTAGTATCAGGCCCGCTTGGACACCCTGCCCCTCTCATTACAGCAATGGCAGTAACACAGTGAACTTGCATCCTTATCCTCCCTATTTTTATGCAAATTTCCTGCATTATCCTGCTGTCTGCATGTCTGAAGGAAGCTGTTCTGATGGTCTTTGACTCATCCAGTCTTTCTTCACTGTTTGCAATCATCTCCCAGAGTGTTCCCACTAAAAGCCCTTTGAAGAATGGACTTTGTCTTGTGTGAAGAAACCAATGCCATCAAAAATAGCAGTGATCAATTAGTAAGTGACAAGACACACCGCTACAGCCTTTGTTACCTGTTGATACTCAGGTAACACATAGGATGTGGAATGTGATTAGTCTTAAAAAATAGTCCTAAAGGGATTAAGAAAAACGGTGGTGAATCATTGAAGATTTCCAAACATTTCAAGTTAATCTTCCCTATAGCTGTGTGATCTCATTCCTGTTACTGAACTTGATCAAGATTTCTACTGAGTGCCTATTTCAGCATCAGAGGGGCAATCTGGAACTCGGAGAGTTGAGCTGTTTGTGTTGCACAGGACACATCCAGACTCCAGGACGCAGAAACCATGTGTCAGCTCCTGGACATTTCCTCACTCTCTGGACGGGAACTCTCTTCCTCCCCTTCCTAAGCCTTACAGAAAAGAAATAACACACAAAATTAAGGCCACGCTGTTGTTTATCTGTGTCCAGAAGAAAGCGGGTGCACCTGGCAGCACTATGTACCAGAGGGAATGCCTCCATCAGACACATTACATGGGCTTGGACCAGTATCATACTGGGAAGGACCAGGCAATCCAAGGAAAGATGTCCTTAGCCTTTCTTCCCATCTGCCCTTATTTACGTAGTAAAAAATCTAACATAGCATTATATATGATATTGGTTATTGGGAGGTCATACCATCAAGGTGGTTACTACAACAGGTTTCTATGACCCAGCTTCTTCCAGTCCTCCTCTGCGAAGGGTCTATGGCAGATAAGTACTCATCTCTCATTCTTGGGGCAGGCAAGTGCATTACACTGCAGAGCTCTATCTGGATCACACAGCCTGATCTTGCCCATTTAAAACTAGCTTTGGTATGACCACTGTAGAGTGCTATGTCTGCTAAATGCAGACAGAGCCTGAGGGCAGGGACAAGGCAGGCCAGCCTGGAGGGTCTCCATCTGTATGGCCAACAGAGGCAATTTTGGTCACATGCCGAATTTCATTTCTTACCATTGCCAGTCTGCTACAGAGACAGCTGCAGCTGTGTTAGGGACCATATCTCCTGTTTATATGAACCAAATTTACCTCCAGGTAAGTAAAGACTAATAACAATGATGATTTTTTACTGAGCTGTTGTCTTTTATCCAGGAGCCAAAATGCACTTTCGGTCACAGCGGCTGTAGAAATAAGAAGTCAAACTGTAGATGCTCTAGGGAGCACAGTTGTTGCTTTGCTGTTGCACTGTCATGTCAGGGGTATTCACATATTTTACTTGACAGAATTTAGCTTGGGTGTAGTAAATTTTCTCATGGAGGAGCTTGTCTCTGGCTGCAAACTGCAAGTAACCCACAGAGTCCATCCTCCAAACTTTGGTACTTCATTTAGAGGATGGGAAGTTGTAAATACCTCTTCCTGCGACATAGGATTAAAACATGACCACATTGAATCAGCCAAGAAGGCTTCTGCTGATTAAGGGGGGACATTACAGAATAGGCAGCTATCCCCTTTGCTTTGCACTGTCAACAGTATCATAAAGAGAATTTGTAGGGCTTGGCTGGAAGCACTGGTGCATCTCAAAGACATTCATATGGTCCACAGTTTCTAATCTCTCAAATGATCTGTCCTCCTGGCAGGACTGTTTGTTTTTTCATTATTTTTTAAGCTACTCCTGAAATCTGTTATGTATAACAGTGTTAACAGCCACAGGTGACAGCTGGCTACCTGGTCATTTGTCCTTTCATATTGCAAAGTTTTTAAGCTTGGTCTCAGAAGGCAAAATATTTTTCAAGGAATCATAAGAAAACCTGTTTTTCTATCTCCAAAGCACAGAGACAAGTGATAGCATTTCTGCTGCTGGACTCAAGTCCTGGGCATGAGACACATGAAGCAACAACCATCCAGGTGATTCAGGATCTTTCGGAATCCTGTGAAACAGCTTGCTGAGTCACAGTTCCCAAGCATCAGTTTTCCAGTATTTCAGGACACCAAGTTCAGCACTTGATGTGTATGGATGTCACTTCTGAGAGAAGAGTCTTTATCCACTGTCCTGGCAGGGCTGAACAAAACTATAGGTTTAATGTCATAAAAGTGGTAGGGCTTAGCCCTTACATGAGGGAAGCTCTTCTACGGCTGGCGATTGGTATGGTACTGTCCTGGTTTGAGCTAAATAGA